GACATTGGGGACTTCTGGTGGGCGATTTGGGGGTACCCTCGTGGGGATTTGCAGCAGCTGCTTCTGGAAGCACTCGGGGCGTTTTGGGCTCTCGAGGGGGGGCTCAGACTGTACTGGGGGGGTTCAGGCTGTGTGTGGGTGTTCCGGGGGGCTGTTTTTGGGGTACCCTCGCGGGGATTTACAGCAGCTGTTTCTGGAAGTGCTCAAGGGATTTTGGTCGGGCTCTCGGGGGTTGGGGAGGTTCGGGCTGTACCGGGGGAGGTTCGGGCTGTACCGGGGAGGTTCGGGCTGTATCGGGGGGGGGCTCAGGCTGTGTGTGGGTGTTCCGGGGGGCTGTTTTTGGGCTACCCTCGTGGCGGTTGGCCTGCAGCACGCGGGGCAGCAGCCGTTCCTGGCAGTATTTGCGCGTCGTGTCCCTCAGCAGCCGCTCCTCAGCGCTCAGCAGCCCCTCCAGCCCCAGCGGGTCCTGCCAGTCGAAACTGGGGGGGGCGGCTGGGGGGGTGGGGGGGGGCGCCAGCCCCGGGAGAGGGAGTCAGCACCGGGGACACGCCGTGTCCCCCCTTTCAGTGCTGCCAATCCCGAGGGGGGGGTCCAGGAGTGTGTCGCCCCCCCCTCCCCTTGCACTCACCCTGTGCGGGGGGCGGCCCGGTGCCCCCCCACCGGACCCCGCTCCGGGCCAGGCGCAACACGGGGGTGGCCAAACGCAGCGCCATGGGGGGCTGGGGGGGGGACACAGGAGGATCAGCGACCCCCGCTTGTCACCCACAGGTCCCCCAGGAAACCCCGACTCCCCCCCAGAGACCACCAGAGACCCCCCCCCTTGCTGCCCCAATTCCCTCCCCCAAGCGCTCGCCGAGAGATCCCCAACACCCCCAAATCCCCCTGACACGCCCCCGACGCAGCCGCCCGGGACCCCCCGGATAACCCCGACCCTCCCCGGGTCACCCCCGACCCCCCGGTCCCTCCCGGTGCCCCCCGGACCGTTCGGGTTCAGCGGCAGCGAACGGACCCGGTAGGGCCGTGACGTCACGGGGGGTGTGGGGGGGCGTGGCGGGGGCGGACACACCGACCTTAACCCTCGAGTGTCCGGACTCGACTTGAGTGGGGGGG